TTCATACAACATAAAGTTGTTCACTTCATACAACATAAAGTTGTTCACTTCATACAACACAAAGTTGTTCACTTCATACAACACAAAGTTGTTCATGTCATACAACATAAAGTTGTTCACTTCATACAACATAAAGTTTTCCATGACATGCATGTAACTATGTCATCAAATGTAAGAAAAAAAAGCTATCAATAATTTTCCATTTTTTTTCATGTATCCGAAATTTGTTGTTTCAATTTTTTTGTTTTCTTTTAAACGACTTACGTTTTTATAGCAATATGTATAACCATAACAGATAATTGTACCTGTATTTTAGCTAAAAACATTTAATGGAGAATTTTAATCAAGTCGACAGATTTGTGTAAATATAACGAAGCAAACAATTAAACTGCGGCAGAAGATGGAATCCTTACTACGTAATAGTCTGGTAATGTTCTCCTGGGGGTTCTGTTATGTACTGACGACACAAATACACAGATAATTACAAACAGCATGCTTTTCACTTAACAATTAATGTTTTCTGCTGCAAGAATCCATTTTGGTGCATTTGCACATCAGTTACATATAAGCTGTCAGAACAGATTATGTACAGAGGAGTGAGAATGGAGAGGGAGACGGGGAGGAGGAGGAAGGGAAGAGAGAGAAGAACAAGGAAACAAGTTGCAGGTCCCTGTAGAACCCTTGAAACTCATCAACCCCTTAAACCCCAGACATACACAACATGTCAGAGTGGGTATCACAACCATAACTATTTACACAGGCCTGCTGACAGAACACAAGTGGTTCTGCCTGTTTCCACCCCAAACTACACATGTATTGGTGTAAATAGGCCCTAGCGTTCCAATATTCATTAGCTGGCATTGATTAGAGCTACAATCTCCAGTAGGCACTAACAGAAATGTAGTTTTACAATAAAGTTCAATTCCCTATGGCCTGACACATGTGTATAGTTATGACGTTTATTATCTGTTTTATATCAATGCACTAGATCTACTGTCTACTGATAATGCCGTCAGCCGAGGCCTAGGAAACCACCAATTATGTGTTTCACTTGTATCCTAAATATCCCATATCTTGTATGGTCCTCTCTAAGCCGTTTAACCTTTCAAGTTTCCCTTTTTTTAAGATGGGAAGTGTGTTTTAACCTTTCAAGTTTCCCTTTTTTTAAGATGGGAAGTGTGTTAACAGATTTTATTCTGAACACAAGATGCATTTCTCATATAAAACTTTGGAGGTTTTGCATTTATATCATTTCTAACTCCGTAATTGCATAATAAAGCGTTTCAGCAGAAATTCAAAGCAAAAGTAAAATAGTTTTGTCCATATGGCTGATCATTTCCTACCATGTATAAACCAGTGTGTGGCTGTGTGTGCCCAAATACACTCCATGATAAACAACATTAAAATCCATCTTGAAATAAAGTAAACATTTTCCTGTATATGACATCCCTCTATATACAAACCAAATGGCTGAGACTGACAGCTAAGTTCTGAGCTACAGTCACAGTGACCCTAGCAACCAATATGTCACTACAGTAACTAACCAGTTACATCCAAGTTTAAAAGTACATTATAAGGTGTACAGGTAGCATCCTCATTTCTCATTATTTTATCAGATTTTGACATTAAAGCACCCCTCCTCCCTTGGCCACTTATTCTGTTATAATATTTCACAATTAACTCATTGATATTGAAGCATATTTCTACATTTTTTAAATTCATTATCAATTTACCAACCCAACAAAGTAAAATTAATTGTTCATAAGAGATATATTACAGGATTCAAAAAGTGGAACTCTATTGTAAAGAGTAGCATGTATCCTTAACATCTCCAAGCCTATAATGACTCGCTTTACAACTGAAAACACTCCTCATACAAAACTGCAATGAATTCTGACATTTATATACAACTGACATGAAATGTAACTGTCATGTTGTATCTCAATATAAAACTATTTCTTTTCCACTTTAATCTCGTTATAAAATCTTGTATCTCAATATAAAACTATTTCTTTTCCACTTTAATCTCATTATAAAATCGGGAGTCCTAACTGTTATATTTGTTGTATCTCAGTCGTATTTTATTTGTAGGTCTTGTCTATCTTTCGGTTAAAATTTGAATTGCAAGCAAACCCTAAAAAAGTGTTTTTCCTAAAATCTAGTAACAAGTTATCCACTGAAGGCACTTCATCATACAATTCTCCCACTTCTAATATCTCTCCAGGGAATACGGGAAACTAAACATGCAAGACTTTAATTTTCTTTGGAGAAGTAATTATCGTTCTATCTGAATTCCTCTATCATTTAATAAAATAAAAATCCTGAGCACATAAAAATAAAAGAAATATGAACTATTTCAAACAATAAATCGACCATAAAGCAGTTTTGTAACATGTACGACTAATGATCTGGGTATATTAAAACTGAATCATGTGACGGATGTAATCTGGTGCCATTAAAACGCTATTAGTGAGACATTTCTGGTGTCGGTGTGGTCTCTGTCATTTCCCCTGGACTATTCTATAACATCCCTACCACAAAGAAACACACACAAAACTGACGTTTATCTTCAATCAGACTCATAAGAAAACGGAGTAATAGCCATCTTTAATAATGATCTAAAATTAACTCTCTGCAGTGCAGTGTCACCGACCAAAATAACTTAGATTTTTCAATTAACATGTTGTGTTTTTACAAGTTTATCTGAAATACTGATTTTATCCGTAATCATGAAAACAGTTTAGCTATTAAATAATCGTGACATCTTTATACCTTGTGGCTACTGTCGACACCTTACCACACGTTGTAACCTTAAGTCAAAACCTCGACTTTCCAATTTACATGTTGTGTACGTTATTGAAGTTGATCTGATAACTAAGCATGGCTCCCGGCCCACAAAACACCTTGATACCTTTTTTTTATTTCTCTTTCTGATCTTGTAGATAAAAGCTTAACCAGGCTGCCGAACATTTGTATCAGGAACATAGGGGCATCGCAACCTAATCGTAATTGGTGTGGGCAAGAATAAAGCACTAATGGGCCAACACAGACGTAATCCACACATAAAGTATTGGTGCCAACAGCTTTTTAAACAAATCAGATAGTGGTCGAAAAGTATACACAAAACATGTCATTTTAAGTGTGTGGGCCACAGAAAATTGATTAGCAACAGGGAGAGTGCTATCTGATAGTGTACACTCCCTGCCTATGGCCTGAGTTCTGACATCTGTATAATATACATTTTCATTTTCTGTGGTAAGGTAAGGTCCCATGTCCATACCTGGTTTATACTGATAACAATGTGGTCCTTATTGAGGCCCCATACACAGACTTCATTTACAAACAATATACCAAATACAACCGGTGATAAATTTTATAACAATTAAGATAGACCTGCAGAACATGTAAGCAATTCTTTACGTCATGATCTGAGATTTTTGTGAAGCAATTCCAACCTTGTAAATCTAGACAAAAGTTGTGTGAAATAATGTATAAACAAGTCCTCCTTAACACTCCCGTAGGTTGTGACCAAGCAGTAGTCTGATCTAACGAACAATACATGATCAAGGTTACAATATTTATCAAGGTCAAATTTGACTTGGTCATTTAACAACATCAAGATCATTATATTTATGAATTTCAAGGTTATTACATCCATATAGTTCAAGATTGCCATGATTTTTACTTTTGTCAAGGTAGTTATTTTTATCTTGTCCAAGGTTGACAAAGGTCGACGCTACCATCATATAACAGTGTAAATAAAGGTCAAGGTCAGAACCAGAAAGACAATTGGTATAAATTGACTGGTAAAAGTAGATCTGGGGGGCTAGAAAGGATCAAAGACACATCTCCCTGACATTGGGGCCACAGTTCTGCCTTGGTGTTACATCACCCCGAGCTTGTAACAGGAAATGTCCCCATACATCAAACACAAACTCTAGCCTTTATCGTTACATGTATATCTTCCCTAAAAATCTTAACCTGTGGTAAACATTTCTTTTAATAGATTTATTTCTTACCCAAAGTCTATGTTTAAATGACCTTTTAAGAATGAATTCTTTAAATTATGTCCTTATATTTGAGAATTTTACTGAGAAAGAGGACAAATTTATTCAGAAATAGTTTTAAAATAACTCTAAAAGCCAAATCAGAGTAAATATCCTCTAAGAGACCAACACACTACAACTGGTATCACACACAACCAAACTTACCATAGTCTTTTCCACGGACAACTAGTTGATACGTTGTGATAACTTCTCGGTCCAGTGATTTATTACAGGTTATCTCCCCTGAACTCTCATTGATATGGAATATCTTCTCATCATTCCCACCTAAAAAGGAATAAGCCACTTTGTTGTAGGGAGACGAATCGTCGTCCCTCGCTGAAACTATGATGACACGAACAGGAGGTGTTGCATTTTCCAACACTATAGGTTTGTACGGCGAATTCACAAACACTGGGGCGTTATCATTGATATCCGTGACGGCGATTTTCACAGAAGCCTGTGCAGATTTGGTATCGGAACTACTATCTTCTGCCTGAATGGTGATATCATAAAAAGTCCTCCGTTCAAAATCTAAATTTTTCTTCACACGGAGGACTCCGGTACTCTGGTCTACACTGAAATCAGAGTTATCCTCTCCTGCAATTATGAAATAGCGCACCAGGCCATTTGTGCCCGAGTCTGCATCCTGGGCATGAACCGTAAGGATAGTTGATCCAACAGTGATATTTTCCTGCACTGTAGAGGTGTATTCCGCCTGGCTGAACACAGGTCTGTTGTCATTGACATCCTCAAGATGGATTATCAATGTTTGATCTGTCGACCTCTGTGGGATTCCATTATCGGTGGCCTTGACATTCATGGTGTACTGCGGCACATTCTCCCTATCAAGAGTCTGTGTGACACTGAGTTTACCACGGATATTTTCGATGGTGAAGGGTAGATTTGTACTGGTAGTACTGTAGTATACCAATCCGTTTCCCCCTTCATCCTGGTCTTCTGCTGTCACCATAGCAACAACATCACCAACCTGGGCATTCTCCTTGATCCAGATCTGGGAGGGTGACACAAACTTTGGGTAGCTGTCATTGACGTCTTCAACAATCACCGTTATCTGATGAGAAATAGAATTGTGTGATTTTGCATTCCAAGTCGATAATTAAATGTCTAAACTCACTAAAGCAAAATGAACTGCTCATTCAAATAGAATTATTCTATATTCATTATGATCATGAAATTTTTCTGAAAGTCAAATTTAAAACCGTTTAAGAAAACTACCATCAACTTTTAAAAATTTGTCTCAAATTATTCAGAAAAACTTTCAGCAAAGTATTGAATACATTATCTATAAAGACAAATGCAGGGGGGAAAAGGGAGAATTTTTAAAACCCTTTGTTTCTGAGCTACAAAGACGGATGTTGGTACTGGACATACATACTAAATTTATGGTAATTATTACTGAAATGAAAATATTTGCACCCCTTCTCTTCCATTACAAACATTCTTTTCTGCTGTAAAGGTCAACAAATATCTGTAACCCAGGCTACATAAAGATGACCTGTACAGCATGGCTACCTTGGTAGTGGCAGTGTTCCTGACAGTGTGGGGGACAGCCTGGTCAGTGGCGGTCACCTCCAGACTGTACAGCGCCACAACTTCTCGGTCTAGAGGTCGGATGGTGGTCACTTCACCAGTCACCATGTTGATAGAGAACTGGTCGTATAGATCCCCTCCTGTGATCCGGTACCTCACCTCTCCGTTCACACCTGTAATACAGGTAAATTAACCAACAGATTAGTAAAGGTTACATAAATTATTCACAAAGGACACAGTTAGGACTGTATCTTAATTTCAAAAAGATTACAAGTGATTAAATGAAATGCAATAATTTAACAGAATTTCATTTCATTAGTGTGTTAATTTTATTTTTGAATATTTATATATAAGATCCTCATTATGCAAAACTCCAGTCTCCCTCCCTTCGAAAGTAGTGGGCATTTCAGTGAAACCAAAAGAACTTTCATTTACAATGATCTGTATAACCATACAGAACAACAGTTATCACTATAGTCTATCGATTATTGAAATTTGACTTATTTGTTATGACAGCTATGAAAAATGATTCCCCAAAACTCCCGAAAGTATTGATATATTGACAGTAACATCCTGGATATCTAGTTGTATCTATTGGTAGTAGACAGGTGTTGCTGAGTTAACGAGAAATAGTTGTACAGGTGTAGCATGTGGAATGAAATGTAGAAACATGGAGATTTCCCTGTTACAGGCCACACTTTACATAGGAAACAGCTTGTAAGTACAGGGATTCATCTAAACAAGAGGTTACATACAAAACCTAGGATGGGACCCCAGCACAGATTTATAAAACCTATTGTTGGTATGAAGAGGAAAGGAGTTGAACCAAGATGTAAAATGAGCAGATTTGGGATATGGAATGTTGGGATCTGTGGAGAAAGGGGATGAAACTTAGGGATGTGGAATGTTGGATTGAGGAGGTAGGATTGAGGAGGTAGGATTGAGCTGGATTGCAGGATTTGGGTATAAAGATGGAAGCTAGGAAGTGAAACTGTTGATAACAATGTTAATGAAGAAGTCTATGTTTGACCTGGTGTAGGAATGTGACCAGTTTGTGTATTCAAGCCTGATTGGTTTCTACTCCAGGGTGATTGACTCTTCATCAACAACTCTCTACCTCTGTGTACAGTCCACCACCCTCCTAACATCTACTCCAACACAAACACCACATGTTTCCAGTGTGGATACTATCAAATATAATTCACAAACAATCAACACAGAAGCCACCCTGTAACCACCTGATATTGACTCAGTGAACAGGACATTTTGTAAAAGTATTGTCAGCTTACAGCTTAGATTACCACTGTTGGTGCTGCAGGACTTGGCCTAGTTGTATTTACAATATAAACAACCCAATATTAATAGGTATCCATTTCTGCAAGAATGATTTGTTAGCTTGAAACATCATATTATCAGTACTGAAACATTGCTGGCAATATGTCTGGTCAGTATGTCCCAGAGTCTCCAATATTCTGCTCAGTGAGGATAAAATCCATAAAAACGCCTATTCACAATATGTGACTCTCACACCACATACCAAATCATTTGTATTCAAGCTGACTTATCGTTTGGGTATGAGTAGATGATCATAGGAAGTGGGCTGTCCATCTGGACCTAGGTATCAGTTGTATGGGCCAGCACCCACACAAATCAGTCCCACAAATCAATACCTAGGTCCTACTGGAGGTTTCAGGTGATCCAGTACAAACCTTAAAATCAATATCTTGTCCGATTGCTGTTTGTTCTTTATTTATCACATCAAACAAAGATTTCTTTTTTATTAATTTCCCCAACAAAATCCACACACGAGTTTGTTCAAGAGCAGTAGATAATCTGTGTTTAACAACTATGGCCATATCCTACACAGCCTGAGAAATAGTATTAAATGACAGTGTAAGTATCTAGTTTCAATTTACCTCATATCTACTGCTTATGTATTGGTTCTGGTTAAGCTAATTCCATTTCTGTTACTAAGTACTATTTCAGATATCCACAGAACATTGATCAGATTTTGATATGACAGATGAATTAGTATCACAAACGCAGGTATCTTTTATTTTAGTACAAAGTTTACAACAAATAAATGTTTAACTAAGAATGGTCCCTGCTCTGTTCCTGTCTACTTCATTGATCTTTCCATTCTAACAAATTACACTGGACCTGATGTCTATTGCTGTAGATAAGTCCAGTCATGGAAAGGGAAGGACAGTCCAGAACTGTCTATTGCTGTAGATAAGTCCAGCCATGGAAAGGGAAGGACAGTCCAGAACTGTCTACTGTTGTAGATATGTCCAGTCATGGAAAGGGAAGGCCAGTCCAGAACTGTCTATTGCTGTAGATAAGTCCAGTCATGGAGGGGAAGGCCAGTCCAGAACGAGTCTGTCCCTGAAGGTCCTTACATTATCATCTGTCATACCAGTGAGGAAGCTGAGTTTATTACACAAAGTTAAATCAAGTGACATGTTAATTTAGCTGATGAACAACGCTGCGGTGGGTAGGCCTACGCTTCCCAGTAACAGCTTGGCAGAGTATGCAATTATAGCTGCAACAAATTGGCGACAAAAAAATATATGCTGAATTTACAAATTATTCCAAAATAATCTCCTCAAGACTTCAGCTTGTTATTAAAAAACACATGAATATACATGCGTAGAATAGTAAATGTTCTTCCGAAGTGGCCCAGCGAGAAAACGATTTGTGTATAATTATTGTACAACAAAAGATTTGTAACTAGGGCAACTGTTTAACTGCAGACTGAATAAACGTTAAACTACAGGATGGTAATATCCCCCAATCCTCACCATCCATCACACTCAGGGTAAGCACCCCGGGAATTTACCCAGCCCACAGTTAACACACTTTTTAAAACTTTTATCAAACTTAATGAATGTTTTTTTCTCTCAAATTATTGATAAGGTTTGTATGTAACTCTCCACTTTAAGATAATGACTGTAAAAATTGGCGAAGGTTTAGATGGCGAGGGTTTAGATGGCGAAGGTTTAGATGGCGAGGGGCTGATAGATAATGAAGTTTTGAACGTCTAATGCGTTTTTATTACTGAAGGTTTAGTGTAGATTAAATGATGTGTAATAGCGTTAACTCTGGCTAACTTCACAATCTCCAACACTTATTATCTCACTCTACCAAACACACTGCTCATCAGACAGAGACCTATTTCAGTTAGATAAGAACTCATTACATGTTATAAAGGTAATTTACATACTATTAATTATATTAAAACATTGCAGGCCCAGGATCAATGTTTCCAAACATTTCTTGTATTGATCTGAGGCTGCACGACAAAATTCCATAAGTTTTGAAATTTTCAGCGAAGAAATAACTTGCCTCAAGCAGTGAATATTATTGTGACATACATGTAAATGTTTTGTCTGAGGAATTTTAAGAGCAGCTTATTCCGTATCTATTCTAAAGTGAGATCTGCTCGGTGATCTTTGGTACCACAATAGGGTAAAGACACTGTCTATATACATAAACCCCTTCACTGCCTTATCAGTGCTACTACTAAATAATGAACGTTCTACACACAATGAAACTGAGGCTGTTCTATCAAGATAACCTCCGACCCAAAACATTTCTTTTATTTCTTTATAATAGTGTGGGGTCGAGAGATCAAACTTTCAACCCTGTCCACATAAAGAAGAGAGTGTAGAATCTGTGTTTCGGTGAGCCTTTGTACTCTGTGAAAGATGAGAGAATAAACAAAGCCAGCAGACTCGGAAAGCAGAAATGTGTCATCTAAGTAAAACTAATGAAATTTTATTTTAAATTCTTTGTTAATTTTTTTTCTTTGAAACCTTGAAGGACAGTAACCTACATCTATTATTCTAAACAATAGACAACTATTGTTAGCCTTTTTCCTATCCTCAATTTCTTTAATCTTCAGATGGCAATAATGAAATGTGATTCTTTGACCAAAAGCTTTTCTTTCACATTTCAAACCTAGAAAAGATTCTTTGGGCAGTAGATAAACACATGAACTACTCCTGGTAGTACAAATAGGTCCACACTTAGTCTGAACCCATTTCCTAAATTACAGATATGCATACCAACAACGGATGTCTGAATGTCTGAATATGTCTACCCTTAGATAAATATTGCCTTAAATGGTGGACCTGAACTAGCTGTGGCCCAACCTACCTATGTAAGTGTCTGACTAGTGTGGTTTGTGTAGCTATCAGTCCCCCATACCATCCCCACCTGACACAGCGGTCCACGGTGTACAGTTGCACGCTCTACTTTGAGATGTGATCAATGTAATTAATCAGCTAAGGTATTGGCCATGATTCAGGTGTGGAGAATGCATTTGCCTTACAGGTAAAATCTATGTCACAGGTAAACTACCCGGTACACACATTTTATTGATCATGCCAGGTGGATGGTCTAATGAAATATACTTGCTTTTCAAATGTTTCCAATAAGGTAACTTTTTTTATCAATTTTATATTCAAGTCACAGAATATTTTCTAAATCTTTGATAACAAGACCTGTGAAGTGCACTCACTTACCCAGGAGGTAAAGTCGACAGATCAGAAAAATAACTTCGTAACTTGGACGTAAACTGCAGACAATGATAGGCCAGTGAAAAGCGCAATCATCCTAAAAAACCTAACTATAATCTGTTACATTCGACAAAATATTTCCAAGTTGTCCAATTTCAAGTAAAGGCCACACAGACAACAATTTGAGAGAAAAGTAGAATTCTCACTTCGGAGGAATAATCACCATGAAAATGAGGTCCATTAGGCGCAAGGGACCAGAGTAAACCTCATTAAAATGCATTGCCAGGCTGTCCATCAGGAGAGCTGCCCGATCTTGCACCACTAATATAAATGGACTACCATGGACAGGGAGCTTTCCCATCACGTTCACAGCTTGGCCAATCTAACTGCCCACAAATCAATCGTCTTGGCTATTGCTTTCTGTTTGTATTATCACATACTGATAAGGGCACCTAGCAAGGGTCCTAATTTTACTGTGATATCGACAGGAATGGCTCATCCCAGCCCAAATATCTCATCTCCACCCCATAATATCACATGGACGACTAATAACCATGATAACACAAACAATAAACTCACTCACTCCCAAAATTCAATTTCCCCAATCAGGCCGAACTGCTCATCTGAACTCCAGAAGATTTGCAAGTTGGATTAGGCTACTAGACAGAGGGATGTTCGCTTAATGAATGAAATCTCCTCCAAATTGAGCTAAATGATTGTAATGGGTGTCCTGAGATGGTCTATTATAAATACATTTGCTCTCTGATTGATTTTCTCTCAATTTCCTGGCTGAGCTGTTACCGACAGATACCAATGCCCGTTGTCTCCCGTCGTCTCCCGTGCATCTGCTTTATTAGCGGTAGGAAGGCAGATGTGACCAGTGCAGGGTGACGCTAGGGTCACACACTATACATATCACTAGAACATGTAACCCCTCGCTATATTAACTCAAATTAGATCTCTAAACAGCCACGATTAATGGTCAGTCTTTTAAAACTGTCTTTAGAATTTATGTAGTCTGCTATTAGCATGTAATATATCGAGTTGTAATCATCTCGGTAAAGACAAGTGCGATTTTTATAGGCTTTGTCTCCCTCAAATTTAACTCATTAGTTATCAGACCTGCTCTAAAACACAATGACAGGGACATTTCTAATTGAAATAAAATGTTCACAGCTCCAGTGATCAAATTTAATTTGTGCCTTATTGTACTGTCCTGAATTTTAAATCTTTCCATCAATATTCAAAGTCTGCTACTGGACAATTTTTAAACATGTCTCCGCACATCTCAAACATTTCCCTCAGTAACTTGTACTGGCTGTGATGCCATGATTTTATTTTCTGTCTTACCCATATGTCAGTCAAAACAAAGTCAAATGTTTTGCATTTTTTTATGCTTCAAAAAAGCATTCCAACACTTTTTCAATCAACATCTTGGTTCCAATAAATGTAACAAAGTGTTTTCTAATGTTGTCTGTTATCACTTTCCAATTTTATTTAGACGTATGTCAAACAAAACCGTTAAAACATTTCAAAACGTTCTAGGGAACATTACTTACAATCAATGAGGGCTACATGCTCCTCCTCGGAGCACTATCATTATTCAATCTCTTTGCCAGCTAAAACTACATGTTAAACTAAGTTAAATAAGTTCTCCAAAAATTACGATTTCTGTGAAACTTGATTAAGTTTTGCATCTACAACTTTGAAACATTCCAGAATGTTTTTCATTTCTCAAATTTCCTGGTAAAAGCTACAAATTGTGTTTTGCTATGATGTGGAGCCTAACCGTAGCTGGGACAGAAGGGTGATTAGTTATTTACAAAGGGCTGCAGTTTGTGGGTCTAATTGAGATATCCCACACGAAGGACTCTGTTACTCCACTCACAGTCACACATACACACAAATTGGGCAGAAAATTATCTAACCATTTCTCCACTGCTGCCTACGCTGTAATCTCTGATAGCTATAACATGATGCATATGTAGCCAAACCAAAGCAACAACAAACAAATATGACACGGCATGGAAATGTTGTAACTCTTTCCCAACTTCTTACATATATGTCTAGTATGTTGAACCAATATACATAAAAAAACTTTCATTTTACGTCAGTGTAAGTGGTAAGTTGGTACAGGACACACAACTTACACCATAATCAATAGTATTCTGTGATCTGATTTCCCTGATAAATCTTGACGACTGTTCTAAAGGTCCGACTACCTCCAGACAGACGAGAGTTCTACTCGGGTTACAGTTAAGTGATCCACGTTTTCATTCCAGTAGGTGTAACATGTCATTTACCTTTTCAACAACTTGTAAGTAGATTAGAGCCTTTGTAATGTTCTGATTCATGAGTTTCTTTTGTATTGTACTCTCAACTTCAACAACTGATGCCCCAAACACAGAAATTGTACTCTCAACTTCAACAACTGATGCCCCAAACACAGAAATTGTATTCTCAACTTCAACAACTGATGCCCCAAACACAGAAATTGTACTCTCAACTTCAACGACTGATGCCCCAAACACAGAAATTGTACTCTCAACTTCAACAACTGATGCCCCAAACACAGAAATTGTATTCTCAACTTCAACAACTGATGCCCCAAACCCAGAAATTGTGGCTCAACCTCAATGACTGATGCCCGAAAACTGGGGTTTTTTTTTTTTTTTTTTTTTTTTGAAGCAATTTGAATTATACCATTAGCCATTTTTCCCATGCTGAAATATAACAACAGACTTAATCTAATAGAAGTGTTTACCTATATATAACCTGATCATATAAAAAATAAATGATTACCCGAAAAATAATTTCTAAGATTTCATGATTTTGTCTAAGTCTAACCTAATAATAAGGAATTTTGCATAAGTCTTGTGTTGTTTGTCAATGGTTGTTTTCTAACAAGACTTCTTTCCAGAAGGCTGTCGTAACTGACAATGATTAGCTATTAAAATGAAGATAGACCCGATAACATCTGTGGTACAATATATGAACACCTACAAACGAGCAGTCATCTGGGCTAGGCTCGATAATGCACTTTACTCCAATATTTACATCACTATAAAGTTGTTTTACATATCCAATGTGAAAACACTTTACATAACAAAAGTTCTGTCAACAAAATTTTATGTTTTGATAAATGGAATGTAATGGAAGGTAAATGGTTTGGCTTATCTGCAATGAAATCAGGCCTCCAAAACACCAGTATATCGTGATACAACTTCCCAACGTTAAATACCAAACACTGTCAGAAGTTAAATATTTTGTTTATGGTAATGCAGCGTTTTACAGGCCGTCATGACAATGGTGAATTGCACACTGATCGTATGACTGAGGCACAAATCAAGATAAAATGGCTTATTTGTTAAGTCTGCATCATTCAGAATTATACAACCATCCTAAACTATCATTAAAAATTAAAAGTCATGATGACAAGACTAAAAATTAATCCCTCAAGACATTTTTCAAGAGTGAAGTTTCATTAAATTTGCATGAATTTTTCAAAAAATCATCATCTTGCATTTCCAATACAAGAAAGTTCCAACTAATCTTCCTTTAGAAAATGTATAATCCTTGCAAGATATGTCTGCTATTTCATGGTGATCGGAGTATGTGGGTACATGAGGAGTGCAGGTCGTGTAAATCATTCTGGGAGATGTCTCAGGGCCGTGTATTTATCTGAATTTACTGGGGAGATAATAACAGGCTATAGGGAGCCCACTGCTGAGCTCACACAATGCCAAAGCATGCCGTTCACTCTCGAGCTCCGTGTTGTCTGATGCTACATTAAACATCACAAAAACACTAGAGCCATAAATCACCAACACACTACCCTATTGGGAACACAACTCTTGTTTGTACGAACATCTTCAATTCACTGCTCAGTAGTCACTGAAACAGACGCTGAAGAAATTGAAATAGAAATGATACTCAAGAAATTGAAATAGAAATCAAAGACCACATAGTATTACTCATATAAGTGTCACTGAAACAGACGCTCCAGAAACCGAACCAGAAATAAAAGACCAAAGATCTATACCAGAAACCAAACCAGAAATAAAAGACCAAAGATCTATACCAGAAACCGAACCAGAAATAAAAGACCAAAGATCTATACCAGAAACCAAACCAGAAATAAAAGACCAAAGATCTACCAGAAACCGAACCAGAAATAAAAGACCAAAGATCTATATAAGTGTCAGACGCTAAAGAAACTGAGATATAAATAGAAGACCTAATACTATATAAGTGTTTCTGGTCAGTCAATATTGCTTCCTGTTAATTACTTCCATGAGAACAACTCAATAAATTCCAATATACTCAATGAAAGAATCAGTTTGTGAATTAAAAGTTTTTAAAATATTCCTTCCATTCAAATAGTTTTACATGATAATGAACCTCTCACCTGAATCGCTATCTGATGCAGACACAGTGATAATGCTGGAGTCTACCGTGACATTCTCAAAGATTTTGGTACTGAATGAGGCAGGGTCAAAGGTCGGAGAATTGTCATTGATGTCCTTGACATTCATAAACACAGACACAGTACTGGAGAGGGAAGGATCGCCATGATCTCGTGCTTCTACTGTCAGAACATACAACTGCATCTAAAACAAAAACGGATTTAACATTACTGTAGTGTTGTAAAACTTTCAGTTCTGAAATTTACAAGGACTTTACTTGTTAATTATATATAGTCCAGGGTAGAACTACATGGAAGAGATATATTCTGCACAGTAAATGAAGGAAGTCAAAAAAGGACTACAAAAAAGCCTATGTTATAATTATGTCCGACTTACGTTATAATTTTGTTAAGTTGAATATGCATCATAGTGAATTAGTAATTTCTGTATTTATTTTGTTGTTCAAAACACCATAGGCTTAACAATGATCACTGAAGGTTTCCACACTATATAGGGTGTGGGTTAGACAGGGGTACACATTAGCTTAACAATGAACACTGAAGGTTTCCACACTATATAGGGTATGGGTTAGACAGGGGTACAAATTAGCTTAACAATGAACACTGAAAGTTTCCACACTATATAGGGTGTGGGTTAGACAGGGGTACAAATTAGCTTAACAAACGTTTGTTTGGTCTGATTATCCCTTAAACGTAGTATCACAAAAAAGAAGTTTTTTCGTGAGCTTTACCTAAGATACTATGCCTGTTTTGGGGTAACAAACCTAAGACATACATGGTGAATAGAAATCCAACGAACGGTGAATGGAAATATAATGAACAGAGAATAATGACAGTATTTCCGGTCTAAACTACAGCTGTCAAACTTGATATGTCTACAATAATCCAATACAATATAAGTGACAGGAGATTACTCCCACAAAAGTCAAAAACTTACTCAAGTAAAATTTGAGTACATATCAATATACAAGTATTCTGCTGTACATAAATACAACTGTAGCCTTCTATAATCATTAACACAGGAAATTGACTATTTGAGGTATTTTCAAGAATAGGTAATTTGGTATCTATTGTGTGTGCCGCTATCTGACCTGCTTAACCTTTATGTGGCTATTGGCCCCACCTTACAGAACTTTATGTATGGTTACGGTTCACCGAGACCTCGGACTGTAAACGGAAAAATAAAGAACAGACAACTGTGCTACGTGACAGCTGATGTATTGAATCAATAAATGTGTTTATATCACTAGTCTTAAAATACTAAGGAAATTATTCTTATTACTCTGAATCCTGTAAACTTTTGTGTTTCTGTCAAACAGAATTCACAAAAAGAACAAATCTATTTTCAGAACAAAAGTTTACCTTCCTTATAAAGCATTTTGGATTAATTGTTTTAAGTTTTCATCAGCTTTTTTCAACCAGATAAATCTTGGCCCAATAGCTCACTTTAGCTGCAAATCTTTGAGAAATTTATTGATAAATTAGAGAGGTTTTGAACAGCCAGGGTACTTAGACATACTACTAGCTCCACACCTATCAGAAATAGACTACAGGACATACTTCTTCTTCAAGTGTCAAGCATGTACTCATAACATGTTTATTTACTGTTAATTTCCAGAGTCATTTTGGTGCTCACCTGTTCAAAGTCAAGCTGGCTCTTGAGAGTGAAAGTGCCTTGATTTGGGTCAAGGTCAAACATGTCCCCACCAAACTGAGTCAGCAGTGTGTAGCTGACCCCTCCGTTGACCCCAAGGTCATTATCAGTGGCGTCAACTCTTCCAATAGTAGTATGGGGAGCCATATCCTCCGGAAGGTCGAAAGTATAGAGGGCGCTGTTGAAGGATGGGATGTCATCATTTACGTCTGTGACAGATATGGTAACGGTACTCTGGGAGTTGTTGATACCATCCGAGGCGCTGAGGGTGAGGTCATAGGTAGCCAGAGTTTCACGGTCAAGTCGGTTGGCTACAGTCACAACACCTAAAACAACGGAGGTACATACATTTATATAGTGTAAGGTTTCAATACTAATAACACCTAAAACAACGGAGGTACATACATTTATATAGTGTAAGGTTTCAATACTAATAACATATCAGTCTTGTTGCTGCTTCACAAAAACTTTCTTAGCTAGGAAACATACTGGACTTCTCTTTTATAGTGTAAATAGTTACAACTTTTAGGTTATTGCCTAAGCTTAGAAAAGTTTACAGAAGTCAGCAAGCACTTCTTTCAATATCAATAATAAATACAAATTTGTTCACCATTTTTATTAAATTTCATTTCTAATAAACTGTATTTGACCCACTAAAAGTTTTGGGTGCTTAGCAGTCTGGAGATATTTCTAAACAGAGTTTCCTTAACAGACACATTTTTGAAGCAAGTCAGTAAATTACAAATCATTTTAACATTCCACATGAATAATGTAACAGAATATATCAATGTATCACTAGTGGAAATTTACTGCATTTGTTGACTATTGAGAACTTAGGCTGTTAGATAAAGCATCAGTTTTAGATAACTATGTTGTGTACATACTTGCCGTGGATATATATAGGATACATACCATTCTGGTCGACGGAAAAGCTGTTTCCTACATTGCCAGCAGTGATACTGAGGGTCACCTGACCGTTGAGGTCCTGGTCCGTTACGCTCACCCTGGTTACTTCCCTTCCCACCGGTAAACTCTCCAGTACGGAGACTGTGTACACAGAACGACTGAACATTGGAGGAGTGTCATTGATGTCGGAGACCGTGATCACAACCTGGAAAATAAAACGGTACGTTAGAACTGACATTGTAGGACATCACAGCAATAACGGGAAACAGATCACACAAACACGAAAAGTACTCCTCCATCGTAAAGTAACATTGTCTATTTGTCCTTCTTCATCCAATTTGTGTTCTTGAGGTGAAGATGAATTTAAAATCCTTTTATTTTATATAATAAATTATCTATGAAAAAATACATTCTCTTCTTAATTCTTATACTTCTTAGAAATACAAAAAGAATTTATAGGGACGTGTGCAAGTCTAAGAACGTGAGAAAGTTTGTGGTATTTGTGAAGTGTACATGTCTAATCATTCTTACACGTAAAATTTCCAATACTACAGGTCAACTTAGTAAGCAATGATTGTTATGAACACGCACATCAGTGTAATATTACTTAATTTAATAACAAATGTGAATTTGTCACTTGCAGGTGTTTTCATACGGGTGAAAAGCAAATTGAAATGATTCCCATCCCATTATAGGTCTATTTGGGTTTGTACACTACATAACCACTGTTACCTGTAACAGAGAATGACTATTATGTAGTATATAACCGTAAACACAAGGAAGTTTTTTGAAATTGATTTTTCCCATTGTAGACATTTCAGTGATTGACAGTAAATCACAGGTACGTTCCGACACAGGTATGTGTTTAGATAGGTTGATCTGTTGTAGGTGAATTCCTTTACTACAGAAACAAATGGTACGGTCATGGATCACGGGGTATCGTCCGCCATTGTCAGAAAGCTATACCCCCTGTGTAAGTGTGACTTACGGACAATGACAAGGGGTGGGGGAAACATTCTATGTGAAACCCTAACCACCATAAACCCCATCTGACACGGGAGTTACCTAAACAAAAACCGCTCCCGTCAGATACGATTTCCAATTTAAGGGTTATGCCCCTATAAATCACCTCGCAATCATCTGACCTTTGTAAAAACCTGTGATCTTAAATGAATGTAATGAAATACAATATCAATGGAAATCACTTACTGTTTGGTCATACATGTATGTAACAGCAAGGACGCTACTTGTACTTTTGCCAAACTCGGGTAAAGTGCCAGACAATTCAAAAAAAATATTCACGTATTTAAAATAATAATTTTCTATTTCATAAGTTATACAATGAAACAAATTGAAAATCCAGTATAATTATTACGTAAAACAGATTTTTTTTCAATTCAAGGGCAACAGAACATGAAAATCGTTCTCAGGTATATATATTCTCACGCAAAGAAAATTATCTTCAAAGTATATTACTGGTGATCAAAAGCATTTATAAGGTAGACACTGACAAATACAATATGACTTTTGGTGTCGGTTTTAAGCTGGATTTTGTTTGTTTACAGTATATAGATACAGACAATAATATCCTGGGATCAGTCGGTATAATCCTGATAAAGCTAGCAGAGATGACCTTCCCACTCCCACCCTCATCCAGACACCCAGAACCTTTGTTTAGGGAGATAATCCCCAAATCATCAGCTCAGACATTAGACCAGCCTTCCCAGGGCCAAACAATCACTTATTGTCCCATCGATAAATTAAAATCTGGAAAATTATGTAAAAGTATATTTGTCTGCTCAATGTGGCCTCATGGTGATGAGCAATGTTGTTTTAATCCTTCATGGTACACTGAAGTAAGTACAACAACAGTAAACAAAAGAGGACAACAGGTCTGCTCCTGAGGAACTGGAAATATGCATCACATAACATAAGATCTGAAAAATTCTTTTGAGTTTGTTTATGCCACTGGAATTATGCAAATTACATTGAACCATTTGTATGCAATGTCAATTGAATACAAGCATATAATTTGGTACGACTTGTGGCTGAGTTTCTCATTAATACAGATTGATCAAGCTTTGGTACGACTTGTGGCTGAGTTTCTCATTAATACAGATCGCTCAAGCTTTGGTACGACTTGTGGCCGAGTTTCTCATTAATACAGATCGATCAAGCTTTAGTACGACTTGTGGCTGAGTTTCTCATTAATACAGATTGATCAAGCTTTGGTACGACTTGTGGCTGAGTTTCTCATTGATACAGATCTATCAAGCTTTAGTACGACTTGTGCCCGAGTTTCTCATTAATACAGATCGATCAAGCTTTAGTACGACTTGTGGCTGAGTTTCTCATTAATACAGATCGATCAAGCTTTAGCATACACTGTTAAATCTATCAGCATTTGGATCTGACATTCTCCAGTCATCCACCGACGTAGACTTTCTCAATGAAAGAAGTATTTTTCTAGAACATGTGATATCAGCCATGTCGTTTCGATCAGTCAAGTGGATCGGTATTTGTGAATTGTCATTACTTAATGGTTCGGTAGACATCATCACTTTCTATCAAACTTTAACACCTCCATCAAATCAGGTCTATAAAAACCTATGATGCAAATAGCGGGTTCTATTATATAGCAGGGATTGTCAGTCACAAACGTGAAACGACCCATACGTCGTCCCCGTCAAACGACCCATACGTCGTCCCCGTAAAACGACCCATACGTCGTCCCCGTCAAACGACCCATATGTTGTCCCCGTAAAACGACCCATACGTTGTTGTCTCTGTACTGTCCCAGGTCATATCAAAGCGTGTCTGTGGTTTGATGTTTGGACTGTTACACACAGTTATAAACCATCAACATTAGACGTCCCCACACCTGTTTCGGACGAACTCCTCGGACAGGACAAGTTTACCATGACTGAGTTATTTGCTAAAGATTATGAATCGGTTTGAACTTGAGACCTTTCTATTATTTTGATTAATGAGCTATTCCTTACCAAGTGAATAAATTATAATTAAAAATTAATTTCTCACGTGCCCAATAACTTTGTATTGTTTTAATTAAAATGAAGCATTTGTCATTACTAGCATGATCCAAATGAGGTTGGGGAAATATTAAGATTTCCTTCTAGTTTCAAACCTCAATCTACACAAGCCACTGAATATTACAACAGTCTGACAGTATTTGCACAACTGCCAAAATAAACAGCACTATTTTGATACACAAGATCTATGGGCCTTTTTTAGAGAAGAAAATATACCTAGTATATGGTACACAGTCCGGACTATGATTGAAATGTTAGTGGCCGTGATTACCATAAATGCACCATTCATTATCAAACTGAGTTCCAGTACAACAATAAAACGATATATTTGTACTTTTCTTTGTCAGATCTATCCTCAGGCAATGTACTTTAGGCTTGATATATATGTATCCAATATTTGATTTGAAAAATGAGTTTTCAGATTTTGTCAATGGATTGAATGTAAACTAGACATTATATATATCATTATGAATCTAGCTTCAGAACCCTGTATATCTGATAGTACTACAGCTGATTAGCATGTCAAAATGTCATAAACCAAATATTTTTTTCCATTTCATACTTCTCTGATAAACTTTTCAATTTAAACAGGACTAATGTCTCTTCATTTCACATTTAATCTGATTTTCTATAGCAAAATGTATAACAAGATTGAAAAATCTTTTTAAAATGTTTCTTCATTTTCATTTTGAAGACTTTATAATGAAGGAAAATGAAAGTGCAATTTCCAATAATTTTTTAACGCATGACTAAATATTTCCCACATAAATTTCTTTAATTGGTGCGTTGTGTTCAGTCACTAATTGATTAGAATCCACTTATTTGTGGATTACAAAAAACAATTACCACAACAGATAATGCTGAAGGTCCCCTGGAATCCATTTATCAATTGTAACTGGCTAACCCTACAAACCCCTTGGGATGTACCAATAGCTTAAACACTTTCCTACACTGTATCACTCTGGTTTTTCTGTGACAGGTTTACAAAAATCATTTTAATGTTTCAATCCTAAGTTAACATTGAAACACAGGACACAAACAGCCCATTATCATAAGGAGCAGTACATAATGGGTACCTAGAGAATACCTGTTTATGTCTAATATTCTGAATCTTTTAATCATCTGCCACATACCCGATAATAATGTTATACAGAGCAGGAATACTTTAGTTTGATATCCCCAGAGATTGTGTATCTTTAAGCAGGTTATAGCAACTAGGATAAAGTGCTCATCAAGCAAAAGTATTTTTCACAGACTGGGAGCCGTACTTTCTCAGGACCCGATTTCCTCCATGCTATCATTATGATATCTGCCTTCAAACATTACAATCAACTATACTATTAACTCTTTTACTCCTAAAATTTCATAATGAACTACTCCAACCTTTGAATTGGAAGAGTTCAAATGTGTCTTCAGGGGTGAATGAGGTAATAGCTAGGTAAAACTTGATGACTTTTGTAAAACGTATTTTACAATATATACCTCGTATTTGTTAAAAGACTCTAAATGTAACCTAGTGATATTTCACGCTTTAACAAAAAGATCTTTGCGGAAGGCAAATACTTGGCAAAAAGGTTTACAACGTAATCTATAGACATATTTCTCTACCGACACCATCTATAATATATCTTCAAAACACATTACAACGGCCATTATTTGAATTTGAATGTCGGAACCTTGTTATGTTGTAGGTGTATAGATTTTCTTTAGGAAGTATTATTTAAAGCCGAGACATGTATTGTTTGACGACCCATCCTAATAAATACCACAGTTCCAGGTATAATACCGCTAAGACGACACCTGACTCTGATCAGCCGTCCTCAGTAGACCTGTATATGTCATACGAAATATTTACAACAACACACATATACCTTATTAATTTTGTTTACATATCTTTATAGTGGGGTAGATTTTGTTTTCTGTAGTGGCACTTGACATGATTTTACAAAATACTACATGATTTTATTAAACATTACAATTGTAGATATTTCCTTTGTTGCTGTGTCGGTGCTTATGACGGAGCTATTTAGTCAGACAAATCGGACATGTTTTCACCTTGACACGAAGTTCTATAGGAAAGGTGTTGGTCCCGTGCAGATTAAGGCTCATGTGGATTATATCTCTCCAGGTAGATTTAATCTGCTGATAAGTGGAT